TAGTATTCATATTAATAAAGAGACTAACGATGTTCCTAAAGTTAAAGAAACATTGGGAGATTGTATTTCTAAAACTTTTGCTAAATGTTTTTAGATTTTTCAAGGGCTGATCTGAAATGGATTTGGAACCAATGGGTCAAACCTTCTCAATCCTTTTTTATCTGGAGAGTGGTCCGTAAAATAATTTCTATTGATGATATTTTGAAGCTAAAGGGTTTAAGAATTCCCTCATGTTGTTTGTTATGCAAGAATACTGAGGAATCTATGAATCATTTATTTGTGATGTATTGGTTTGCTAGTGAGATTTGGAAGCAGGTATGTCAGTTTTCTGGAAGGAATGTGATGGAATTTTGCTATGTTTTTGTGAAGGAAATTTGTGATGATTGGAGGAAGGAAGATCATGTTTTCTTCTCTAATATCACTATTGTTGTTTTATAGTTTATATGGGTTACTAGAAACAATGTGAAACATAATGGTGTGATACCTAATATTGCTGAAACTTTTTTATAACAGTAAATTTCTCCTTGAAAAGTTTATCTCTTCATTGTTTTAAATGGAAGTCAGGAAGCAAGATTGTGGAACTTTTTTCGAATTTGAATATGCTTGTTACTAAGTTGTCTGGTAATGCTAAGTACAGGGTGAAATGGAGTAATTTTGTAGCTCCTTTTATTAAAATTAATGTTGATGGTAGCTAGAAAGCTAATGTTGATGGTGTAGGTAGTATTTACAGGCAAGTTTGGGAGGTGTTGTTTGTTGGTTTGCGGCTTCTATACCTGTGTCTCCTTTGGGAGATGAGGTAGATGCAATTATATTTGAACTATTGATTGCTAAACATTTTGGTTGGAGTTATGTTATTTTGGAATTAGATTCCATAATTTTGTGAAATTGTTGTAGGAATAAGGTGGATTGTCATTGGAGCATTGTCTGCAAATGAGAAGAACTATAGAGCTAACTAAACAAATGGATATTTTTTGGTCTCATATTAAAAGTGAAGTGAATGGTGTTGCTAATTGGGTAGCTAGAGTGGGGGTTTATCTCAGTTTTGTTCACATTCTAGATCCTTAGCTAGAGAACTTTTCTCGTTCTGTTTGCTTGATTTTACTTAATTGTTTTATTTTTTTTATTTGGATTTCTTGGTGGGGTGAGTTCTATTTGTATTTTTTTGGGGAGAGGTCCCTTAGATTTTATTTCCTTTTGTGAGTTGTATGTGAAGTGTGATGGGGACCTCTTACCTTTTTTTGCAATTATTTTTTTGTGTGAAATAAAATTCCCTATGGTGTTTGTTTTTTTAATATATACATATATATATATAATGATAATATGTTGATAATAAGTGGAAGAAAATAAAAATCAATAAATTATAAGAGGTAATGTGTAAGCATTTTATAATGAAAAATTTGTTGATACTAAATAAATTCTTGGGATGTCAATTATAAAGAATAATTATGTTTTGATAGGAAGAATAAATGAAGAAGTATTTAGCAAGTTCAAATTATAAGATGACAAGCTTATAAGTAGTCCATGGGGCAAAAAGTTTAAGCTATCAAAACAATAATCATCTTCGATAGAGAACAAATGGAACCATATTAATAATGTATCTTATGCTTTAATCATTAATTGACTTTTAAATGATGTAGTGCATATTAGACATGACTTTTCATAAGCAGTTACTTTTGCAAGTAATTATAAGAGCTATCTTAGCAAACTGTATTGGGAGGAATAGAGTGATTTCTCAAGTATTTGAGAAGTACTGCTTATTATGCTTTATATTTCAAGAAGATCATCTTAAATCAACATACATATGTTGATGCTAGCCTAACTAGAGATATTAATGGTAGGAAAGTACTTCTAAAAAAGGTTACATATTAGATGGTATGACTATCAATTAGATTTAAAAACTAAAAGAAATAGTTCTATTTATACTAGTTAGGTTGAGATGTTGTCATCACCAAGGCAATCAAGGAGATAATCTAGTTGTAATAATTCTTGATAGAATAATGTCAAATATATTGAAAGAATGTTTTAAATTATGCAAGTCAAAATGTTATTCATTAAAAAAAATTGATTTATTATAATTATCACATCTTTAAATCACCATTACAAAATATTATTTTAGTACTTGAGGTTTCTTACAGTATTGAGATTAGCTACAATGTTAATAAATTATTTCAATCTCTTATGAATTGCAATTGTGTTACTTGAAGTTGCGTACAAGTATAGCTCAACCTTGTCCATTATGGTTAAATGGTTTGGAGTTGCAATGAATAGAACATAAATAATTAATCATCTAGTGAGAGATTGTTAAGTTGTGAAATTTAACTATAATGTTAACAGATTATTCGATCAAGACATTGAAGTTGTGTACCAGTTTAGCAGGAACCCTCAACTAGGGATAAAAATTTAGTAGTTGCAATGGAGACATGATAACTAGTTAGTTTCTGATTGAGAGATTTTTGTGGCATAATCTTTATATTACAATGAAAGTAAACAATGCAAGCTTAGATCTATTTGAAGTAGCAATAATTTTTTTAGGTGATTATAAGATTGTTGAGCACAATTTAAATGCTACTGTGGTTATATATATATATATATATATATATTGGAATATCGTGTAATAGAATTCTAAACGCTATCATATGTTGAACATATTTGATTTTCAAAAGCATTTTTCTATTATAAAAAAATTCTGAAGAGCTACAAAAAAATATATGAGTCAAACAGTTGTGTGTCAGTAAAAAGTGATGAGAATGCTACCCTAAATAGAGTTTCGAGGCAAAACCCCCAAATTATATATTATATATATGGTTATTTCGCTAAAGGTGTTTTAAGAATATTGTTATATTGTACTAGATATCCTAATTTTTCCCTTATAAAAAGAGAGGAAGCCATTATATATCTATTATACAAGAGGAATTAGTACCATATTCAAGTCACAGTTAGATCTTTAACAACAGCAAAAGAATATAGTCATCAATTGGATGAACCTAGATAAAGTTTATAAGAGCATGTTCTCATGAAGTGAAAATATGCATTATTCGCATGCTCTAGTACATACATGGGCATGTTCTCAAACTTTTGTCCTAGAAAACTCGGAGTTAAATCTTGTTTCTAAGCAACAAAAACACAAGTACAGACAAGATTCATATAGTTGAGCCAAATATTCATACATACAATTTTATAATGATCACATTTGTATGCTATTGCTTCAATTTCATAAGCCTTTATCCAACCAATAAAGTAAATACGTTGACATAGCTTATGAATTGAATCTGAATCAAATTTGGATTAGATATTAAGCTGTTGGACATGAGTTTGTCCAATTCTGACTTTGGAAAGAGAAAAATGCTAAATCAATTCAAGAACCTACTTAGAGAAATTAAAAGCAGAATCTATTACATTTGCAACAAACTTAGGAAACAGCATTTTGTTCGCTCAGAATTACTTTGGCTATGGGAAACCTTTTAACACCTGCTTGCCTTCAGGTTTTGGGAATACAGCATAAATTTCCGCCAATACAATCTCAAGGAACTTGTTTGAATATCGTAAAATTACAGGTTAAAAGGCTAAATTTCGTAATTGCTGCTAAGCTAAAATTTCATCTGATCCATCCAACAAATCAGATAACTCAGTACGACTGATTTTCTAGATCAAAAATACAATTTAAAGCAATTTTTTTTCTTTCAGCAAAAAAAATAATAATGACCCAGATTACTATAATTGCTTGCAGGTTAAAATAATATAACTCATTTAGCTTTGAATAATTGGAGCACAGAACATAAGCACTCTCATCCAAGCTTTTACATTTAAGAGGCAAGTCAAGTAGAACAATATGGACTAAATTATTAGCTGTAAATTAAGCATATTATTTAGAAGCACATAATGTGTACATTAGGCAAGAAGTGCACCCAATACACACCCATACACGTTCCAGCACAACTCATCTACAGCCAAGCTCCACACATTATCATACAATACGTGATGTGATTCAGTCCCAAACCAAAGGGCTTAGGCCTACAGCTTCATGTTCACAAAATTGTCTTAAACCATTAAAGCAGCACTCTCAATCATGATATTTTTTTTCAAAAACTTTACCGCTTAGATTTATATTTCTAAACATCTGTAAACTAAACATTTTTTTTTTTTTCATAAAATAAAACCATGCCGTAGAACAGAAATCCGAATTTTCTGACAATCTATCACTTTCAAACAAATTTCTCACGAACTTCAAAGCTTGCAACGATATGCTAACTTTTGTCACACCAAGCATAGACATTTTTCAAGAGGCAGTCATTTAAATTTAATCAAAGTATGCATGAGTGTTTCTGTAAAACTGATCTTTATTGCGGCGAAATTCAATTGGCATCACACATATGCAGCAATAAATCTTTATCCTACTAAATGAGAACATCTACATGAATTATTTCTCTCCATTGCATCGTATTGAGCGTCTTATTTTCATTTTATTCCAATAGATTAAAATCATTTTATGATAAGCTGGACTAATTTGAGTCGTTTTAGGTCTATCTTTGTCTATCTTAACACAAGTCAAATTTAAAGCATCTACACTCTCCACATGCACATTGGAAAAAATTTACAAAATAAAAATAAATTATAGTGAAAACTAGAAATTCTTTCTGTACGCTCTGGTTTACACAGGTTTAACACATTTTTTGGGATTGGGAGAATCTTTCCACGCCTGAAGGCTGGAGTCATGAATAAGCAATGATAACAGATCACTTTAAACGCAGCACAGTAACTATAACAAGACGCATGGAAGCCGTCAAATATAACAAAAAATGGCTTCTGCAGCTTTGATTTGGAGGCCAAAATGCTAACAGTTATCATTCGAGGTCACTCAGTAAAAAAAAAAAGCTGACCTGCAGCTCAAATTCTATGGTTGGCCACAGAGCAAACAGTATTATACAAAACCCAACAAAATGATGGTTTAGCTTGCATAAAAGATAAAAATATCGGAATGGCTTCAGAACTCTTAAAGCAAATGAATGAAAAGGAGCACGAGGCCCTGAGATGAAAAAAGAAAAGAATAGGTCAATATAATAACACTTCGCCACCAGAGATAAATAACTACATTCCACACGACAGAAAATAGAAGTTGTAAAGAATGATAGTAGGCTATTAAAAATACCCATCATCCATCAGACAGATCGTCATCACATGCACTACCTATATAACACTCAAATTAGTTTGAAATAATATTCGATACCAACCCACAAGCAAGCTTCTCTGATCCCCTGCTTAAGAGCCACAGCAGGCTGATCTCTCTGGAGCTTTGTTGTCGCCTGCAGCTTGTTCGGGTTTGTTTATCTTAATAGTCCGTTCCTGCCAGATTTCAAAGAAAATAATTCTTATGATAAGCTGGACTTAGAAAAGAAATATAATGGGTTGGATGGAAATCTCTGTTGATCAATTAGTTTAAAAACATACCTCAGGTTTGTTATCGGATTCTGCAAGCCTCTGCTTGATATCTCTGGCAATTGAAAAGAAAACCTGCTCCACGTTAAGATTTGTTTTTGCGCTCTGCAAAGAAGTATGATATAACAAAAATATTAACAAGACAAACAATGAATTTACAGTTTCATTACAGCATTTTTAAATTACAGTTTCAAAGAACTTGATGCCATATTCATCAGCGAGCGCTTGCCCCTTTGAGGTAGGTACCGCCTAAATGTAAAAAACCTTAAAACTAAGTGAAAATTAATCACTGTCAAGCGAAAGATGTGTTAGGAGACAGATGAGGATACCCTTTTGCTTTCATCCATGTCAGCTTTGTTACCAACTAATATCTTGTTAACATTATCAGAGGCATGCTGTTCAATGTTTCGGATCCAATTCCTAATATCTACATAGCATGTCTCAAACAGTTAGAATTTAAGAAAAATGGTGACTCCAAAAAATTTCTTAGGGAGAAACAATGGCAGAAATTACTGTTGAAGGATGACTCGTCAGTTACATCATATACGAGTAAAATACCCATGGCACCTCGATAGTAAGCTACAAATAAAGAAATGGAGCAATTATAAATGACATTAAAAGAAAAGAAGAACCGGCATATATGTGAAAACAAAAAAATCACTCCAGATAAGATGAAATAAGCGAAACTAATAATTAAAAATACCTGTAGTAATAGTCCTGAAGCGCTCCTGACCCGCCGTATCCCAAATTTGAAGTTTAATACGTTTGCCATCTAGCTCAATTGTTCTAATTTTAAAATCAATACTGCATTAAAAATCAACAAATTCTGTTAAATAAGAAACTGAACGGATAAAATGCTTGACAGTGCTTACAATGGGACTAAACTCTTATGCAGGAGCAAATCAAGCAATGAAAATTTATCTAGAACCCACCCGATTGTGGTAATGAAACTAGTGGTGAAGGAGCCATCAGAGAACCGTAGAAGCAGGCAACTCTTGCCGACACCTGTGAAATGAAACATAAATCAATTTATTAGAATTAATTTACTCAAAAGCAGGAGTAAGATTCAATCAAAACACCCATTACATAAAGTGAATAAAAATAGATAAAAGAAATAAGAATAAGAGCTTATTAAAATGATATTTGGCAAGATAAAGACTGTGTTAGTTAAAAAACAAAAAAACGAACAAGTTTAACACAACAATTAGGCTTCAGAGATCCCTTTTTATGGGGGTTTAGAAAATTCCTATTTACCTTGTCACTCACAAAACTATAGATTAGGGGAAAAAAATCGAACATAGATAAATGGATATCAAATAAAATAATTGTTTTGCAGAGGAGATTAATATAGCTGCTAAATTAATTTATAATTTCAAAAATAAGTTAATTTACTCAAAATATTACATTTAAAAAAGAAGAAATCATGTAGCAGAATCAAATACTGTTTTATTTCCTATTATCCCTGACCATCTCAAAGAAAATGATGGGACGGGAATGTGATGGCGATTTTGACTTAGTGACTCAATTGTTTTTCCTCCTCTCTCTCTCTCTCTCTCTCTCTCTCTCTCTTCACTATCAAAGCTCGTTGATGACCCTCACCATCAAGAATCACCATTGTTGGAATAGAAAAAAAAAAGAGAAGAGAATTAGTTCTGTGTCATAGATAAATAGCCAGTCTAATAGAATAGTTCATTGGATTGATCACATCAATTCAAACACCTGGCAAATCCAAAAATTACCGTATGAAACTTTGGTTCACACATTTGGGTCCTAAAATATAATAGGGGGAATCATGGGTTGCCTTCAAAAATTAAGTAAAATAACCAAAAAAGTGTGCTTAGTAAATTAAGAAGGGTCCAATAATCTTGGTAAACAGAAAGTAAATTAAGAATGGTCCAATAATCTTGGTAAACAAAAAGTAAATTAATAAAAGAAAAAAATTTAAAAAAAATAAAGAGAATACCATTAGATTATACCAGTTTTTTTCATCCAACTGTCTCATAATCATTTTGAAAGGAAAGAACCGTATTACAACCATCTTTCTTTTAATTCTTTGCAATTTACAAGCACAGCCTGGTCACGTACATAAGCAAAATTCAAATTAAGTTTAAATAATTAAACTTCCCATGAGTGATCAAACTTATGGATCAAAATCAAGATAAAGTAATTGATCCATGTAGGCTAGGTGATATAAATTACAATTTACAATTTAGTAAATTGCGATACACCATCAAGGATTCAAAATGGTAAAATTACTCACAACAGATCTAATGCCTGGCCAAAGCACCTGGGTCACGCTTTTAGCCGAAAATGTCCGAATTAATTCAATCTCATCTGATTCATAAATAATCCCAAACTGATTAGGGTGCAATAAGTCTACACAACTTATCAAGTTGGCGAGAAAAGTGCGTTATGGCAACAAAACACCCAAAGAGAAAGGTGGGACAACAGGTTGTTATATATATGCCACTACATAGTATCAAACATGGTGCTCACGAGTGCTAATGAACCGTAGCAAAAAGTTTGTTAAAGCACAAGCTCATTTATGAAAACCCCAGCACGAACATGATCAACTACAGTAGAATATTTTTTTAATGCAAACGGTCCCCCCAAATTGTAGTAACAAAATTCCAGCAACCAAAAATAGAAACAAGAAAATCTCCTTCCATGATATATTGCCATTGCACAAAGGTGGCTCAGTTACTGGTGAGATTTAATTCAAGTAAGATTTAATAAAAAAAAGTTTTGACTTTATGTGCCTCAAAATTCACATACCTCAACTATCAGTACGGAAGTCATAGATTATAAACGTAAATATCAAATTTTATGTCTGATATGTAAAAAAAATTGTGGGGTACACACACACATTTATATATTTATTGTTTGGGGCAACATCCGCCGTAGTGACTTTGAAATAGAATACCCCCACATGAGAAACAGGCTCGGGATGAATAATATTTTCAGGCAATCAAAAAATATCAGCATATAAACAACTTTAGGCATATGTAAGGCGGCATATATGTAACAAATTATTGTTTGAATATTTAGTATACAACCTGTAAAAAAAGGCGGTATGCACGTAAATCTCTCTTTTTATTGTATTTCATGCTTCACCCTAAGAATTATTGGCTACACAACTTATTGGTTCAACATAATTGTCAAAGCTCATTCCCTATATTACCATGAGCCCAATAATATGAGGCGAAGTATGTAAAAATGAATCGATTAATCCAAATGGATTCGAAACAATGAAACAAGAGCAGTTGCAATATGTGAAGTGTAATATAGTCCATAGCCACATAGACCAACACAAGAAATCTGATTGGAAGTGAGACCAAATGGACAACAATCAGCATTGCAATCATTCTTGGTGCCTGACCAAAACTACTAAAGATTGCGGCATAGAAAGGAAAAAAACAAACACAAAATATTGTAACAATCATGTGGGAAAGTTGAAAATGCTACAGGAGCCCGAGCCTTATCAATAACCCTTTTAGCCGACTAAAACATTAGTAAGGGAATTTTCCATACCCGCCACTCATACCTCGAGGTCCCAAAAGCTATGCACAACAAATTGTGACACCATGAGGCTTCCCAGTGCCACAAAAGCAAGGTATAACGGAAGTCTTTTCTTTACTTGAAATCAATACAGATCTCTAGGACCAAGTGACTGAGCAAGGAAACCAAAAAATCACACAAGAAAATAAGTAACCAAACAGAACTATTGAGCATCCCAGCTAAATCCACTAAGGCTGAACAAAATAATGATTTTAATAGTTCCATGTGAGATGTTAATTTTAGTTTGTCCTTCTCCTTGAACCTCAAAAACATTAGAAGTTAATGTTTGCTAGGAGTTTATAGCTTTTGAAACTACATAAGATAAAGCCCAGGAAAACAAGCTTCGACACATTACGGAACAAACCCAAATCAGATGAAGGTTCACATGTAGGGCAAAGCCGCTTCCCTTGCGGCATTTTAATAGCCATTTAGCATGCAACACGTAAATATGAATAATAGGGGGGTATTTGTGTAACAATGGAAGCATAAACGTTAGAAAGGCAAATAGACCAAAACCATGTGATACATGTAAATATGAATGACTGGGTGCGGGATATATGAATATGCAAAAATTGGATGGCAGCTATGTAAATTCATGGCGATTGAGTAATGTGTATACAAAAAAACCGAAAAAAAGAAAAGCTTGCTTGCATCCTATGCAAATACCGCAAATTCATGTAAGCTTATAATATAAATTGACAAAAAATACATGGCCAATTGTTAGTCATTTACCTTCCAAGCTTTAAAAGCTTCTACGAGCAACCATGAATGTTTACTCATCTCTCACCTGTAACCATAGAGGGCCACCTATTTGTAACAATACTCAAAGAACTCCCACTAACAAGCAGAAGCACAAGCCTCTAGCATGAGGGAAAATGTAAAAGCATCAAGCTTGAGTGCTTCAACTGATGCTTCAATATTCAAATAAGTATTTTACTTAATAAAAAAATGCACCCCTCAGGTACCCAGGTGGGCTAGTCTAGTCATGGTTGGAAAATCCACCAGTATTCTCTACATGATTTGGAATGTCATCTTTCTTGCTGAAGATTTACAGAATCATTCAGAACATATGCTTATATAAAGTATTCCAATTATTATAAGCATGATTATTAAGCCATGCTACCACCCATGAAACATTCAAAATGTTTGTCCCGTGCTGCAAACATTCTGTAGAAACACATCAAACTAAAACCGACAATCTCCAATGTAATATGACTTCTTAGACAGGCGTTGTTCCCATTGAACAAAAATAATGGGAGGATAATTCAGATGTGAAGTGAAGGAAAATGCTTTAGCCAAGAAAGGAATATTTGACTGTTCAAAGTACTAAATCAAAACAAATGGGATTTGATTGAAAAGTACAACTATAACTTCACATTAGCTTTAGTTCACCAAAACTATAAGAAGACAAACTGTAAAGTGCTAACAAAATTTGGATCCTCGCCAAACTATGGATAGCAGCAGTTTCAAGCTTACTTGTTCAAATAACAACTGAGGGAATGGATTATGTAGAAAACTTAAAATAAATAAATAAATAAAACATTACAAACTATAGTACCAGGAAAGAAAAGAACTGTTAGCAGAAGATAGAAGACAGAAAAAAGAAGCCTAGTGAGATTCGACTCATCCTTCGAATTTCTTCAAAATAGTGATACTAGAATATCAGCATTGAAACACATAAGCAAACTTTAATCAGGAGCCGATCAAAAGATTAAGAACATTGGCTTGATAACAAGAGAAGTAAGACAAGTAGGGTCTTTCAAGCAATGATTAGGTATACCAACTTCAATGCTATACGAATTCCATCCAAAAACTCATAATGGTTTCCAAGAAAACAGGACAAGGGAGGTGGTAGTTTCTTACCCCAAGTGCCCAGAGAAGCATCAATGACCGGAAAAGAGGAGCGAAAACCAGCAGGGATCAAAAGAGTCCAAACTTTCAACACCCACCACTCTCCCTCCTAAAGGCTATTTATAGCCAAGAGGGAGGAAGGAGCTTACCATGTCTTACCGGTGGTGAGCCGACTAAAAGGAACAATCGAGAAAGTCGCGGTAAGGGCAACAGGGAAGAAGCTTTAGCAGCGAACCGAAGTATTCGGGCAGGGGAGCACTTAGCTAACCTAATGCATTGGGAGACAAGCTCACGAGGTAAACCTAACCCGAGTAGGAAAACGGAATACCACGAAGACCCCTCGCCCGACGAGATGAAGATGAAGCTTCGGGAAGAAGCATTTTGGGCAGAGGGTGTCGGACAAGGCAAAAAGAAAACTTGTCAACCCTAGCTCACGTGAGGGAGAGGGAGCAGGGCGGAGCTAGGGCTCCGCTTGGGCTGAAGAAGAAGACTCGTGTAGGAGGTGGTTTGGCCGAAGGAAGCCAGCGAGGGCTTCGAAGATGAGCCCGAGGAATAGGTGTGGTTTAGGGATTTAGATAAAAAAAACAATTCTATTT